ATGCAGAAGGCATTTACAAACTGCAGGACTGCCAGCAGAGCAATTAACCCAGTGCTTGACAGCTCATGTTATTGCTTTCAGTTGGGGGGGAAGTTGTGCCTCAAATCTATTCAGTTATTAAGCCTGTAATACTTCCTTCTTTTGGTAGGTTTAATTATTTATAGGCAGATCTATGGTTGGTTGAAGTCTGATTTTTCCTGATTACACTAGCAACTAGCACTACTTAGCCAACTAGTCTAAAATTAATGTGATGTAGAAAAGAAGCAAACTTCAGAGCTTCAAACAAAATTCAGATAAAACACCCACCCAGTTCCTACCAAAACAATCATACTATCCTAAACCTTACCTTTTCCCTTCCTGTGTCACTGTCCCAATGTCCTGCTCTTGACTGCTTGGGTTTCCATGAGGAAAGGACCATGCAGAGTAAATTACAGGATCAGGACTCCAGGCTGTGAGTTTGCAGAAGCAGAGACTTCATCTTGACAGATTCCTCAGAGTGCCACACACATCTCTGCTGATACAGAAGTAATAATAATTTCATGCTAAGAATTCTGCCAGTGCCAATGGCCAGTAAATAACATCCCTACAAAGAGGTAAAAAAGGGCCCTTAGTTGTGTCAGACGACTTCTAACAAGCCAAGGAACCTGATTTTCAAGCTCAAACCTTTAAATGGAGAGATAAATGAAACATAAACCAAATAGCAACCCCTCATGGTTATGCAAATTCATGTGTCATTATAGCAAACACTCTGACTAGAACTCAGTAAATATGGAGGCTGTAACCTGGGGTCAGATGGGGCTTCCCTTCTTTATATAGGCAAAAACTTCCATCTCCTCAGTGCTAGGAGCTGGCAGTCTTCCTCACAGTAACTTACAGGACCAGGCTGTATGATACCAGGTCAATGTGTGGTGAAAGTAAATCTTCATCACAACCAGACTGTTCCCAGCAGTAATGAAATACTGCTATGAATTGATTAGGTGTGTACTATCAATTAGAAACAACAAGGGAGAGTTTCTCAAAGAACATGCTGCTCAAGAATCCCTTTTCTTCATTTCTCCATTTAATTAGTCATTGCATTATAATTCAAAAATTCATGCAATAATCATTGTCATTTTAATCATCAAAGCTGAATGTACATTCTTTCTCATTAAATATATTAAATACAACAAGAGATGCTAACCAGCTAATGTTTCAGAGCTCCAGGGAAATGCTCTTTTACATACATGCCAAAACAGGCAAATACTGTTTTTTACAGCAAATTTCTGTATCTTCCAGGCTATATTACAGGTGTAACATGGCCAGAGTGACCTAAGGAAAGAGAAGCAGCATGGTTTTCACACAGTATCTTTTATTAAACAGCTTTCTCTAGATGTTGTCATGTGTTGAGCAGACTGAAGAATTTCTTACTAAAAAGTTCAATGTTTGGAAAAATGCTGATTGATGGCTACAACGGTGAAAAATTTCCATTTACTTGTACAGCATACATACATTTTACCCCCCCACAAGCAAAGACCAGGGAGCCGAGAAAAAACACTTGTGAGATGTAGGAGTACAGATTCAGTTTTGAGCCAGGGTGCCACTACAATACGAATAGCTGCCTCCAAGGCGTGAGAGAGACAAAGCATGAGATCAGCTCACTTCATGGCAGCTGCAGGATCACAACGGGGTGAGTAGATTTTGTCAGCATCAGCTGAAATTCAACCAGCATTGAAAATGCATCCTGTCACCAACCTATAATATCTTGCTTCTTTATTTTTTTGGTTGGCTGTCTTCCCATGGCCCATCACAGGCAGAGTCCAACTCCAGGTAAAATCTCAACATGCAGATTTCACTTCCACCCCTCCTGCAGTTAACTGTGAAAAGTGCATTCCTTTCTCTCCAGCTAGCAAAGCTCACCCAGAATAATCACGGCTGGGCAGGGGACAACTTTTCTTGCATGCCTGGCAATCAGATCCAGTTGCATTTTGTTGCAGAGTTTAAATTGTACAATGCAGCTGGCTTATCTATTTACCTGGTTTGTATTGAGAGATGGAGAGAAAGAGGGAAATCCTCCTAATCATGACATCACAACAATTTAAACACACAGTTTTTTAAAAAGACAAAATTAGGTATTATCAGTTGAAACACATTCCACTGCTGCTCCACTGAGCCTGTCTTATACACCTACCAAATCTGTCTGGACAAAATGCTGCATTGCATCACCTCACCAGACAGGAAGATTCTAAAAATTAGGATTTTGCAGGGTGAGCTTGCACAAAATGTGTGTGCAAAACTGCCCTCTGCTGTTTAGATTGAGACCTGCTCAAGTAAATGATTGTGTGACCAAATCAGTTTTTAGCTGTAAGGGTCCAACATGCAAAGAGGCAGAACCATCTGACTTCACCTGTTTTCTGCCTCCATGCACACTAGAAATTTCATACACAAAAGCCACTCACAACTGCCTTGCAGCATGGACCATCCCAAGAGATCCATAGGCTGCAGCAACACTGTGCCAGCTGCAACACTCACTCTGTTAAGCAACTTCCTCACCATGGGTGAGCACCACCAGACACCCTCTCATCCCAAAGATGAGTCAAGAACATCTCAAGGTGCAAGGGAAATGATGAAATTGTGAGAACCCTGCAGGAGGACATCCATCTGTCAACCTCCTAAAGACAGACCTGACCTTTTTGAAGCTGGACAGGAACTGTATGCCTGGGGTCAAAAGCTTATAGCTCAGAGGCCTTTAAGAGTTAAGGACTATTAAGTTACAGGAATGATTGGAAAGCAGGGTAGTGAGCTCATCAAAAGATGTCCAGTAAATATTCTTTAAAACTAGCCCCTCCTGCAGGGAAAGAAGAGAGAAGCTAGATTTTCTTTTCAAGAACACATGGAAACCATTGTACTTTGAAAAAGCTGCCCATTACTTGAAAAAGTGCCAGCATGTTGGACAATTTGGTACAAAAAATAACACAGAAGGGCCAGCTGTTTTCTACAGCTTCACCCACACATTCATACACCAGATGTAGCAAACTCTGCTCTGTGAGAACAGCATTAGACATCCACATTTTCTTTGGGAAGTTTGAGTTTGGTACAAATGCAGAAAACAAGTACTGTTACCCAGACTAGTTCAGTTTCTGGAGAGCCTCTGATGAAAGCTGGCCCAGTCCTCATGAATTAAGCACAAATTTCAGCTCTTTGCAACAGGCTTTGGTCAGTGCACAGAGAATGCTGTAAGCTATGCTGGTCAGTGTAAACACACTAACTAAAAACCAAACCAAAACTTGGGTACAACAGAAACCTTGAAGATCTTTTTGTTCTTTTCACATCAGCCCTTTTTATGTCCATACACTTAAAAACACAGAAGCATGGGTGTGCAGCACAACATGCCTTTGAAACAATCACTAAAAGCACTTAGTGACCACTTCAAAGATTCCCTTGATGTTTAACTCATGTTAACTGTAACACAACAGTCATGTAGGGCCACTGTTCAGCCTAAGGGACTTTAAACACACCATCAACAGATGTACAAATGAAACTTTAGAAAGATTCTTCTGAGTGCATAAATAGCTGGAGCTTTACTTTGATGATGGCTGGCTGGCCTCCTACACAGCAGGGCTGGGACTTCTCCATTTTTCATGTTAAGGGCAACAATAATATTGTGTCAGCCCCCAGGGAAAGGAAATTAGTGCCAGATGATTCAGTGTGTGCCTGACCACTCTGGTTTTGGATTTGATTCCATCATCTAGAAAACTTAAATGTGAGACATCAAAGGTAGTCCTGCATGATAATGAAACTAGCTGGGTGGGTTTTTTCTATAAAAGCTGCCTAAGAAAAACTTGTAACTTTGAGGACAGAAGACTTACCAATATATAACTAACAGACCTCTCAGTTTCTTTCTAAGAAATCCTTTTCGTGCTGAAAACAAGTGCCTTTTTCTTGGAGAAGCACAGAAGGGAAGATGGTTCTGGGAGAAAGACTAGTAGTTTGACCTGCAGTAAAGTAAGATTACCAGTTCATTCTCCAGCAGCTGTGAGCTCCATAGCAGCAATTACTTCCACACGTTTTTTATTTGCACAAGTGAAAAGAAATATACAACACAGAAATATATTGCACAGCCAATGCAATGGCATTACTACTGCTGATGCAGAAATCCATCATTACCACCACGTTTCTGATGACCTGCACTTTGCTGTGTCTGAAAGCAGTGTCTTTGCTTGAGTCTGAAACATCTGTGGACTGTGCATGCTTAGCTACACCTCTGTCAGCCTGCTGCTCTTGGAGCAACAGCAAATCTGCATTCTAGACAACAGCTTCCGACTCTTCACAATTGTACAGTGTTAGCTTCACTGGGACACTTGGGGAGAAGAAAAAAAGTCAAGTCTTCTTAAAGGGATTCAGCATTCCACTCTATTAATCCAAGGCACTCAAAACAGGTATCAGAGCTTGCTCGAGCTCTTACTAACTAGGTACTTCTGGGTTATCAGATATAAGAATAAATTTGCATTTAAGGCTACATTTAAACCTATGCTGTCTTAAATTTTGTTCGCATCTAACTCTGCAGGCTCAAGAAAATGAAAAGTGTTAGAACAATATGTGTATCTATGATGCTTATTACAGCAAATACCATTTATAGATATAATCAGACTGTGACCAAACTGTCCATCAAAATCAGAATTGACACACAGGTTTGCTGAAACACAGTTCAGGAGAGCTTTGCTGTAAGCTAAAATGTGAATTCAAATTGCCATCATTATACCAGAGTGTAGAAAAACGCTCAGGTTTGACAGAAGGGTGCTACTTTTGTCTTGTGCTGTTTGGGTTTCTTTTTCAAGGCAGATGGAAGATTTATTCACCTTAAAACAATGTTAAAGGTGCACTAAAAAGATAGGCTGAAGTTACCAGCAAAACAGAAGGTAAATATGCTAACAGTTCTGTCAGCATTCAGCATAACCTACAAATTCCTACTTTTTACTCTTAAGGGTTAGAAGGGAAAAGAAAAACTCCATCAAAAAGCCTCATTAAAATCAGAAACTTTTGTAATTTCACAGTATTTTTATTAAGTGCAAAATAACTTTATCCCTGTAAAATAAATTAAAAGGAAAAGAGCATGCTGGCCCCTGTCCCCTGAAGAATATGGCTGCTATGCTTTACCTTTACCTTATGCTACCGGAACAATTCAGGCACAAAGATTAAACTACATCCAGTTGTTTACAACATGTTTGTTGATACCAGCCACTAACTTCAGTATTTATCACATTACAGAAAATTTCAATGGCACCTCAAATCTTTGGAAATAATGTTTTCAAGGGCTTAAGGGGAAAATTCCATAGCAGACCATCTTGGCAGAATGACTCAGTCAGAGCCATTTCTATTCCCAAACCCAGGAACTGACTGCTAGGTCACTATCAACCATACACTTAACCTCTCAAAAAACCTGTGTGAGGCAATTTCTGAACCACTGAGGAGAATCTGCCTTTGAAGAAACTTGCACCAGGCTGAAATGAGACAGAGTTGGCTAGAGTGCCCTCAGTGTATCTCACTTCTACAAGATTATGCCACCTAATACCTTACTCTAGCAGTATCATCAATACTGTCAGCTGGTCTGAAAGACACCTCAAAGCATTCTCCTCAAGTTAAAAATGAGTCACTGTGCCAAAGAGATAAAGCTGTTTTTAATTGTTTCTTCTGCCACCTGAGTGCTGATAGCACAAACTCAGAGAATAGCAGAAGCCAGTCTGTTTTGACATTTAGAAGATCCTACCCATTAAAAACTTGCTTTCAGAAGTACACTTCTCCTACTCACTTGAGCCTGCTGTATAGTATTTGTCTTCTTTTCATTGGCAAAGGGAAATTCACCACACCATGTTGAAATTGTACATCTAATTCCATTAGCTTTTGCTATTTACCCATGGGATACAATTGTCTTACCTTATCAGTGTAATTTTATTCCTAAGGCAAATGCCTTTAAAAGACTGTTAACAACCATTTGCTGTGGTCTTAAAGACTACAGACTGAAATATGTCAACTGTCTATCTTGCAACATTTCAAGCTTTCCAAAAAACCCCAACTTTAGTGCTCTTAAAATGTGCCCAGGTTCTATTCCAAACAGCTTTGTCTCAGACACCTGTACTAATAGCACTTTCAAGTTTGTCAGTGATTTTGAACTGACCACTTTACACGTTTTTGTTCCTGACAGAAACGGATTTGTCATTCTTTCTGCAGCCAGTCATCTCTTACCATTGTGATCTGCATCTCCTTCTAAAGTGATCTGTTACTGTTTAAATGATCATATAGCTATTTTCTCAGGAAATTACACAAAGTTTTAAACTTAATTAAAAGTATTGGAAGACCAGCCATAACATTAAAAATAAATTTTAATGTTGTCATTTTTAGATCATTTGCTCTGACACCCAAATATTCTGAATTTTAAAGTAGTACTATAGGGACACACAAGTGCAGATAAATCTTTATTGCCATAACTTTGTTTTTCAAAAATGAGCATTGGGTTTTTAATAGGTCGTAGTTTTATGTCTGTACATGTACAACATTACAACTGCGTCTTTTAATAATAATGAAGTTAGTGATACTTTGATAACTCAACACAGTGTATTTATAAAATGAATTCTTATCAAAATACACTTTTCACTGGGATAATAAATAAAATCCTGCGAAACCCACCTACACAAAGTTAATTTTAACTCTGGTAGAACCCGATGTGGTACACAGTCCATTAACTACTATGTTTGCCCCTTTATCCCCCTACTGATGCTCATCTTCTGGGGTAAGAAAACTTTTTTCCCCCCGTTGTGGTGTGACCTCATTCAACATCATCTTCAGCCAAGCACTGTGCATTTACAATTCTCTGTAAGAAGGAGAAAAACTCATTCACAATTACATAAAATTGACAGTAGGCAACTGATTATCAAGCAATGTAATTTTACACTGAACATTAAGCAGTGTAATTACTGAACAAACTGATTAAAGTTAAAAATGGCAATCTATTTAAATAAAGTTTTGAAATCAGTTCCACAGAAATTACAAACAGTGCAATACCTAACAAAGTCAGATAAACAATATTCTGACAACCTCAAGTGATGACCTCTGTGTGGTTTCTGGCACTGTTCTCTTAGGAAACATTTTTGTTCAATCATTTTCCCAACTCTTACATCTTGCACACCTGACACTTTCCAGTGTTACCACTGGGTATATGGACTTTTACCTGAAATGTAACCATGCCTGAGTTGTAAGAAGATCCAAGAGATACCCAGCACTGAGTCTCTGCTTTATGTCAGGTAACACTGTTAGGGAGTCCCCTTGTACTTCCAGGAACATAAAACATACCATTTATTTCACAACGGACTCACCTGCAAGCACATTAACAACATCACCCCCTCTATACTCAGACTGAAACAGGAGGGTATTTTATACACAGAGCTACTAATGCTTTTATCATCAGGGAAACTCCCAAGCTTCCAGAATTGTTATGGATTCTGGTGCTAGTTAATATCTTGTGTCTAAAGCTGTCCCCAGAAGCAACAGATTCATTTTTATGAACTTCCATAGCATTTAAACACACTTGTAGAAATGTAAATTTAAAAAAAACCCTCTCAAGACCCAGTGCAATAAAGTTACTGTTTTTCCAATCCTGCCAACTTGTATTTGGGAAACACTGGATCCACTTATAGTACCAGAGCTGTGGTCAGATGCCTCTGCTTCAAGAGCTTAGCATATCCTACACACAAGAGATGTTTTCTATTTCTATTTTATCCTGGTTGCTACTAATGCTACAGGATGATTTTCATATTCACTTTTTAACATCTAAGGTGAAAAAAAAGAGCTTCTTTTAATCTAACTGAACACATTAAAAAGCCAAGAGATTACAAAACGTGATACTCAAGACTAGTGCAGTGGATAAAGTAAGTATTTAAATTTTTTTCCATACGGGACCAACAGGGAATGCTTCACATACCTGGCTTATTGTAGGGAGCTTAGTTAGAAGCATTTGAAACACTGGTGGTGGAAGAGTCTGCTGTAGAACTTGTAGTAGCTGCTGCGGCTGCCCACACACAGCAATGGCATTGGTCAAGTGATCAACACCCTTTTCATATTCACCTGTATGACAAATTGCAATGTTTTGAAATCACCCATCTTCCACACTGTAACACATTTACACAAAACATCCACTAAGAGTGGATTAAATTACAGTGAATCAGCCCACACGAAGCTCTTCTCCTTCCCTGACGGACCTTCTGAACACATAAGGTTAGAAACAAATAAACAGATTTTCTTAGATGAATTTGACTCCCCAGAATTTCTTGGTGTATAAAAATCATCTTCTAGCAAAGGTAGAGAAAAATTATTCTACAGCTTACCCTTTGGAAAAGGTATTATTACCTTGAGCTAGTAATTCCTCTCCAAGCTGAATCTCCTCAAGGAAAAACTTCTGAACTGCTTCAGCATCTTTCAGATCAGGCAACTATAAACACACACAGTAAAAGTTAAATCAGCCCTTAAACACCAGCTAATAAAAACTTAGCAGAAGATATTCTCAACTGAAATTAAACATGCACACAACTCTATTGTTACACTGACACTGGCAAAAAAACAAGTGTCACCACTAAGTTAAACATACTCAGAATGTTTTTGAAAATCAGACTCAGGTCTTATAACACCACATCACAAATCTGTAGACAGACAGCCTGAAATATCTCTTCTCAGTTTATTAAGTACATTATTTAGGAGCAAATATAAATTCTAAGGTGTATTATGTTTATAACAACCGTATTTCATGCAATTGTTTAAGAGAAATCTTCTATTTTCTTTCTGGATCCATTGGTAATAATGAAAAGGAAATAAAATACTTATTGCAAAACAACCTATCAAGTTCAGTTATAAGTGTATCCCATCAGTAATTTTAAGTCTGAAAAGTCCTTGTTCATATTACAAAGAGAGAAAACACCATCAAATCACACAGTGAATGTTGTACTTTGTTATATAACTCCTCTATCTGACACAAAAAAGAAACAACCATACAATCATTTCTGAATATTAAAAAACCTAAAGACTGCATATTTGTAGGACTGTTTGTAATCCTGCAAATTTGTTTGCAAAAGAAATCCTTAAGTAAATCTTACAAATAATACAGGTGAAACATCTTTCAAAACAGCCCTGCATAACTGAACACAGTATTACCTTGGAAAGTCCTGCTCTCTCTTTGGCAAGCTTCTGTTTCTTCCTTCCTGTAAGAATAAAAACATCTTTTATTTTGAATTTGCAGTTAAAAAGCCCTTCAGCTTATAGTCTGAAACCATGAACAAATCAAAGTCCCTTTCCAAAGAAGAAACTGTGAATGGATTCCAAATATTGCAGACTGAGCAGAAGACTGCAACCGCCCAGTACCACAGAGCATCATTCAGGAGTCTAACGGGGCTGGCAGCAGCAGCAGCCCAAAATGGCAGCTCTTCTGCTGAGGGCTACAGCAAACAGCAAGCACACCTCTGACCTGCAGGCACACAGCAGCAAAGAGAATCAGAGTAACAGAGGAATCATCCAATAAGCCACACAAGAACTGTCTGGAAGTCAGGCTATCTAGCTTTGAAGTGCACCACCAAGGAAGGGGAACTTGAGCAGGCCACAGCAGATACACACAGGGCACTTCCTCAGCTACTTTATAGCAAAGACTTGAGAACTAGTTAATAAGTGGCAGTCTCACCATCCCTCAGCAAGAGCAATACTAAAGCATACACTTCTGAAACCTGAGGAAAGCAAACATTTACAGATGGAAGAAACATTTACAGATTTAACTGCCTACCTAAAGGCAAAAAATTGGTCTGCTACATGAAGTTGTACTACTTCAGCAAAATTAATGTAACTAATATTAAAGTTGCTTTTAAAGCAGCTAGACAGGTATAAAAAGATACCTTTATAGTAGCAGTTCGCCATACAAGAAAGAATAATTATACTAATTATACTGCCAATTTCCTTGGAATAATAATTAATGTAAATCTTCAGTTCATCAACTGAAATAGTTACACCACTAAAACCTCTGAATACAGCCTGTGGTTAAGCTGTCCTTCCACTCTTTGTCCTCAGTGTCTGCTCAGAAAACTCCTACACTGACAAAGAACAATTGTCACACAGCCCTGATTTTTCTTTTGATACAATTGTACAAGCTGGAAATACTTTCAAATGTGATCAGCAGTTTTACATGGTAATGAAAAATTTTCCCTTGTCCACATGGTGAAGACAGTCAGGAATACTATTCCCTAGTACAGTGATAACCTCCCATGTGGCATTTACTGACAAGATTGTGTTCTTTGCAGAAAGGGAGTTCATTCTAACTAGATGGAACACCCTTTTACTATAATACACCATCTTAATAACACTTAGCACCTAGATTTCTACAACTAACTAACCTGTGTATGTTAATTTATACTATAGATGGAAAAACGTGTTGGATAGAACTGTAGTCTACTACAATTTCATAATTTTGGAGGGTTTCAATAGTAAAGAATTTCTCCTGAAAGTCAGTGCTTCAATTAGTTCACTCCAACTTTTCAGAAGCATTAATTTGCAGAAAACTTTAGCCTGCACTACCAGGCAAACAAGTTTTGATCATAGATAAAATTGTAAAGATTAAATTTTTTTTTTAAATAATATTTGATATTATTTACTATCCAAACCAGCCACATTGCAGCTGTACTGCATTCAGCAAAAACACCAAAAAGAAATACAGAGAGTAACAGCTTAACATGTGTACATCATTTTGAGGAGAAAATTGTGTGTTCTTGGCATGATTATGATACCTTCTTCTTAAAATGTGATAAAAATTCACCAGGTTAAGCATTCTGAAATAAAGAAAAAAACAAAAGACATGCTGGTCACTGGAACTAATGAAAGCTTTTGACCACTGATCACACAGATTTGAAATCATATACTTTAACCTGAAAATAGTGAAGGAATACAAAGAATCACCAAGATTTTAAAACTGAAAAATGATCTACCAAATCCTTCAAGCCTGACTACTATGGAACTTTGTTTTCCTCTTCTTAATACTTTTATACAGGCTCTTAAAAAGTTCACTAGCTAAAACAATTAAAAACCCCAAGTAACTCTAAAGGATATTTATGAATTCTTCCCATAGTGGTTGAGCAGAATTACTAGTTTCAAAGTATCTTTGAAATAACAACCAAAAGTTACATTTATAGTATGACAAGCCAAAAAGCAATGGCTTTGAGGGGTAAAAAACCTCAAAAAGCAAACAAACTAACCAACCCTCCCAAGTTTGTTTTTTCTCAGGGACCTTCATGAAAATGAAACACTTCCTTCTATTCTAAGGAGATAATCACATTTTGGAAAGTGAAAGGCAATCTTTTGGAGTCAGTGAATCTTTATTACCACAGAAATGCAGAGCATGCATCCAAAGCACAAAGCTGAAGTGCAGCTGTCACAGTGCAGGTCCTCAGGCACAGCTCTTGCTCAGGGTACAAGTTCCAACAGAGAACCCGTGGATGGCCTGTCCTGCTGGCACGGGATGCAAAGGGCCCTGAGCAGCCCCAGCAGCTTCCCAACAGTCCCACAAAGGAGCAGAAAACCCAAAAAGCCATCTGCATTTTCAGCTCCCATCAGTGAATCTGTCTACTGCCCTCTCCTCTCACCCTGCTCTCCAGGCAGAAATTCTGGCTGTCTCTGAACAAAAACATGTGTGTCTGTATTTTAAAGCAGAGCACTGCTGTATTATTCATTCAAGAAAACAAATAGTAAACATACCTGAACTGTTTTATTAATAAAATGCAGCCTGGGAAGCTCAGCAGCTACAGATGTTTACAGCATTGCTATCTTTTGGTCCCAAGACTAAATAGGTACATGCCCCCCACACTAGCAACAAGATCTAAAAAAAAACCCAACAAAAAAGTCCACACACAAAACCTGCTAAGTAAGATTAAAACATGGAGAAAATCAAAGACCAGTAGTTCTGTACAGTAGAACTTCTCTCTTCCAGAAACTTCCAAGAAATCTTTTCCCAGAAACCTAAATCTGACCACCTCATTTTTATGACAGGCCTTTGCAGTGAAAACTTTGGCCCAAACACAGCACCCAGAGATGGCAAAAAACCCAACTGGTTCTTTGTCAGCACGTGCTTGACAAAACACAACAGGCAATCCACTGACACGTGGGGTCTCTTGTCCTTCCCAAATTCTGGTGACACGGCATCACAGAGGCTGAAAAAGGATCTTACCCTAAGGAGGTTACTGGGAAGGATGCACTGCAAAGGTGGTTCCTCCAGCTTTCCATCCCACACCCCCAGCACTGCACAGCACATGGAGCATCTTTACATGAAGAACTGCAGCTGGCTGTGCACTGAACCTGTCCTGGCCAAGGATTTTACAGCCCAAGCCTTCCTGGCTACCCAACAGTAAAATGCTCTAACACCCTGATCCCTGGCACCACTGCTGAAGCATCCATACTAAATTATCTGTTACACTACCAAAAACAACCAAAACAAATCAACTAAAGCCTTACAACTACAGGCAGACCAGTGCATCACATGCAAGGACTGTAACTCCTACAATGAAGTCCCCCAAATGACAACTGCGACCTCCTACCAAACCAAAATGCATTTGTTTGCCACTTCAAAGTTAATGTCAATTCTTAATCAGAGCACTTCTAAGGTTCATTCAGAACATGACCAGACAGAGGCTCAGATTATGGAAACCTGAAATCCAAAAATAATTTTTGGTGCTCCTGCAATAACCTTACATAATTCAGTGCTTCTCCTGCTGCACACCTGGCATCATAAAAAACCCCATGGCTGATTATGTTGCTGGAAATCGAGTTTGCTTGTGCAAACCAAGCACATACCAGTTAACTGCACTCCAATTTCCCAATTAATGACTTGCACTGCAGGGAAAAAAGGACTTGGAAAACACACACACACACACGAGGTATGTACCCAAAATCCTACACACAGGAGCAAGGGCTTGAAGCTGAAATGTTTGACAGACATAATGTGCTGTGGAGGAAGTTTTGGAAAGCAGAATTAATGCACCACTAAGTGACAACAGTGGCCAGGCAAATCCAGTCCACGAAGGCAGAACCAAAGCTGTTAAACTACATTTTAATGCCATCAGGTAAATACTCATTTTTAACCAGTCTGGTTATTGACTTTTCCATCCATGAAACTGCTGATCACATCATGTTTACTTGCCAGGAAAATTTACCTTAATGATAACTTCTTGTCTTCAGATTAGCTACCAAAGGAATAATATACATATTACCCTGACAGAAATAACTCAGTACAAAAAGCATCACCTTCCTGCTCATGATTCCTTTGTGTTCCTTCAGTACTCATGCCTACAATTGCATTTAAAACCCTCACTGATTATTAGAAGGTTTAAATAAATGTTGAAGATGTGAAATGATGAAGAGCCATGGGAGAAGAGCTCTACATCTTGGATTAATCAACAGTTTTCTCTGGCATTCATTCTTATCCTGGAAGCCAATGGCAGGGCTGCCAGGAGGGTTTAGAATGCAGCTGATGAAACCTGAGAGCTGCCACCGACCCCCTCCTCACCAGGGCAACAACTTCACTGTAAGAGATCACACTCTTTTACCTGCTTGTGTTCCAAACACAAAAAAGATGTTAAAAAGTGGCAAATGTGGTGGCTACAATAGCACTGCTGGGCCTGTAGGAGAGCAAGATTGGACAAGAAAAAAGGCGGGGGGAGGTGAATTGGAACCAAGCATGGATGGAATCCAGAGGCTCCCCAACAGCCACAGCAAACGCTCTCCGATGGGATGACCCTGCCTGGAACCTCCTGAATGAAAGGAGGCTGTAGTGAGCTAGGGTCAGCCTCTTCTGCCATGCCTGCAGTGAGAGGAGCAGAGCAAACGCCCTAAAGCTGAGACATGGGGACTGAGATGAGACAATAGAAATAATCTCTGGCACCGTGAGGGTGGGCGGGCATGGCTACGCAGGGAGGTGCTGGAGCCCCGATCCCCGCGGCTGCTCCAGAGGGCCG